GAAAGAGGAGAGTACATTTTTTTAAGAATGTGAGGCCTGATTTGGGCATTTTTGAACTGTCACCTTTCAGCAGTTGATGTAAGAAGTGGTATTTTAAGTGATGAATGGAGTGGAAGGCAATAGAAATAATCTTCATCTCCCTCCACCCTTTTATTTTAGGGAATGCAAGCTCGATTCAGTTTAAAAGGAGAATTGATTCCTGTAGATGCTGATTTACCGACACATCTAGGCCTGCATCACCACGGAGAAGAGGCAGAGGTAGGTGTAATGTAGTAGAAAGGGCACGCCCGTTTCTGTTTTCTGTCTTTGATTTGGCAGATTCCTTTTGTGCTGAGGCTTTTCAATAACAAAAACCTTCAGAAAGTGTGGATGGGTGATTTTTCTTTAGAAACAAGTTCCTGAAGAGAAGTAGGTCTCTATGCATTAACTGCTTTACTTTCAGAAAACTCTATTAATACTTTTTCCCTTTAATGCCATTAAGGATCTGTGATGTTGGAAAAAGGTTCACATACATCCCTCTCTTAAGAAGTTCAGTTTTCTCCTGTCGCATCAATAATTAGAATCTCTCTCTTTTGTAATTGCCACAAAGCCGCAAACAACAGTGCATTGCAGTTTATCTCCCGTTATGTAGTATTTTACAGTTAATCTTACTTTAAGGGGCCTGTTTATTTATCTACAGCCGAGGTTGTGATTTTTGGTTTTGTTTTGTTTTCTCCCTTTAGAGGGCTGGTTATTCTCTCCAAGAGCTCTTTCATTTGTCTCGCAGCCAAGTTATTCAACAGAGGACACTGGCTCTACAGGTCTTGGGTCATATTGTTCAAAAGGTAAGTCACTTTCCGTGGAATTCCTCCCTATAATTCAAATTTCCGGTGGATTAGGGCCCAGATTCTCTGGTACTAGTTGTTTGCTTTCTACTATTCAATGAAGGTGAACGAACTCACCTGCAGGGCATTATTTTTCAACTGCAGATCTCCTTACTGTTAGAAAAGTTAAGTGTTGGGACATAAACTGAGTTTCAGGTTTATCTGGAGGGAGATGCTTCCAAGTGTTGTTCAGCAGCAGTTCTGTTGTTGCTTTGGACACAAGTTATTTTTTGGTGTTACTTTTGTGACAAACCTATCCTTGGCAATGACCCTTTCACTCCTGTTGTCTGAGCCACATTCATGATGTGCTTGTTCTGTAGGAGGTGAGAATGAACCAGCCTACTTGTAGAGTGATGTGCCAATAGCATAAAGCGAAATGGGTATTTACTTCTGTGCACATTTCCATCTAACTCTTAAGGGAAGTGATAACCTCCCCTCCAACAGCAGTGGAGGCAGAGAAGAAGAAATGGTGTGGTTTTGAGAAGAATGATGGAGCAGAACAGGGTGAAGTCAGAAGACGGGTCCAGACTTTAGAAAGAAAGGTTTCCTTGCATTAAAGAACTAGAGTTGCACACCTCTGTAGAATAAAGGGAGGGGAAAATAAAGGGAAAAATCCCCTTCGCATTGATTAGCCGTTTTATGGTAGAAACGGGAAGAGGCAAACACGCAGAATGTTGAGATGTGCCCAGTTGAGATGAGACATCTTTAACACCGGCTTTGTGTGGCATACTTTCAGGCCAGGGCTGGAGAGTTTGCTTCTTCCTTGAAGGGCAGTGTTCTGCACCTGCTGCTTGATGCTGGGTTTCTCTTCTTGCTGCGCTTCTCACTGGATGATGCAGTGGATAATGTCATGGCTGCATCTGTTGGCGCTCTCCGGGCTCTGCTGGTGTCCCTTGATGATGAGGTGAGACAGTCATTAAGTGCCTGGGTTTGATTTCATGCTGAGCTATTTTACAGAAATCAGAATGAGAAGACATGGTAAGTAGCTTGAACAAAGACTTGCTGGATGAGTTAGTTTAATGGTCAGTAGAATGCCATTGCTGTGCTTTGGGACAGACAAGGGAGTGTGTTATCCCAGTTTGGGAGATTCAGACATCTGTTCTCCTGTTTGAATTGGCTCTGCCCCGTGATTAAATTCAGCACAACCTGCTGAGGTTCTCCTGCTTTTGACATCTTTACAATCTAGATCAGGCCACTACTAATATATATGTGTACAATTTAGTTTTCTTAATACGGTCTCTTGTGCTGTTAGCTTCTTGCTTTGTAGTTTTCCTGCTTCTGCACAGATTAAATATTCTCCCTGCCTTCCCTTATGCCTCATAATGATGCTGTTTTCTTTTTCTCTCATTGTCCATTTTCTGCTGTCCTCATGTGCTTATCTTGCACTGATAAATACCTAATTTTGCCTTCTCACATATCAATTTTCTCCTTGATGCTTTTTCTCCTGTTAGAAGGTTGAAACTTCTTTTGGGTGCTCAGAGATACTAGAGAGCCCTGAGCAGCAAGATTAAGATGTCTTCCTGGTTTGACAGAAGCAGTCCCTTGTAGGCAAAGCATGCTGTGTGCTGTGTTTCAAGTTCCTTCCACGACAGCTGCTCCTGTGTCAGACTGCAAAGGGGTTGGTGATAGAGAAGGGTGGGTAAATCTCAGGAAGACCCCTGCAACTTCTCCCAGGCCTTTAGAGCTATCTCTAGTGGGGAGGCAAGAGAAATGAAGGCCTGGGTAGGTTTTTCCAAATCTTGCTCCTTTAAGCTATAAGTCTAATGGTGTTCTGCTAGATGAGTCCTGCCCACCCATGGTGGGTAGTTAATGCTATGAATCACCTTCTTAATGTGCTTTTCTTTCTTCTAATCTTACTCTGGTTTATAACTCTTTGCAGTGTTCGAATTCTCAGATCAAAGCTTGTTGTGTGATGTCTTGTGTAAGTGGAGATTGCTGACCCTCTTGATGTCAAAAGCAGCACTGCAAGTGCTGTGTCAGTATATTTTCTCTTTTGTGATGGTCCTTCCTAGAGACTCATGGTGCTGAGTTTCAAAAGGTTTCTTGAGGAAGGGACAGGGCTGGAAGTCTGGCCTTTTGCTCCAGGATTTGTAAGACAAACAGGAATTATCCCTGCCCTCAACACAGAAGATCAACACACACAAAAATCATGCTGTCTGAAGGTTTTGTTCGTTCATCAATGGCTATGGGAAGAAAGCACCTTTCTCTTTGTTTCCTTAGAAGACCCAGATACTCTGTCTTGTGCTTTTCCTTCTCTTGGTGGAAGGAAGGCTCTCATCCCAAACTCTGTATTCCAGATGGACTCATAGCTTCATCCCCTAAAGTCAGGCCTCTTTGCCTCTTCTGACCATGCCATTCACTCACCAACTTTATTTAACATTGCTTTTTTTTTTTTTTTTTAATATCTGTTAATAACTTGTACTTCCTTGGTGCTTATGGTAGCAAGACTGATGTGGTAGCTGATGGTCATTAGCTATGAACAAAAAAAGGGTTTTTTTTATTTGCTGAAGCTGAGGGATGTTCAAACAAACATTAACACATACACCAGGCAGTCTTTATTTTAACATACCAATTTTTACATGATCATTCTGTATTATTTGCGACTCAAGTTCCACACAGGCCCAGAAATGGGAATAGAGCCAATAAATGCCAAATTTCAGTTTAACTTCTACAGCCTTGGTGGTTTATTCATTTATTTTTATCTTAAACTTTTTTTCAATTAAGCTGCATTTCTGTTACCTGCGTAGTGAATTTAATTCACCTCACAGTAATTGCTTTTCATGGTTTCCCAAGTGTGTGGATCATAGGTTAAAATCACTTCCCTGAGAAAGCATTGCATTCTACTTGTACGTGTTTAGAACACCCTTTCTTCTACTCCTGTTTTCCTGGGGTTAGGTGGGAATCAATAATTTTTTGTCTTCCATGATTTCTTGGTGAGAATTTTATTTTATGTGCTTTTACTCTCCTTATAGAAATATCTTGATTGGACTTTCTCATGGTACCAAGGGATGGCTGCATTCCCCTTTGTCCCCAACAGTGAGGAGGAAGAAGAGGAAGAAGAGGAAGAGTTAAATGGAACAGAGAAGTCTCGAGATAAAAAAATAAAGGATGAAAACAAGCCAGATCCAGATGTGGCCCGATATGATGTTGTAAAGGTAAGCACAGAGCTAGACCTGAAATCTTCTTAGGAAAATAGGCTCTGCACAGTGGCTATGTGTGCTGATGAAATGTCTGCCCTCCTGTGTATGCTATTAAGAACGTTCTGAACAAGAATCAGAACTCTTCCCTGGCTGTTGGATGTTATGTTTATGTCATGTATCATGTTATTGATCTCTAAAATTTTGAGACTTGACCTGTGTGATTTCAGTATCATTAAGTATCTCTAACTTCCTCCAGGGAAACTGGCAACAAGCACACTGATGACCTTGTAAGACTTGCTGAAAGACTGCATACAGACATGATTTTCAATCTCACTTACCTGAGTTAAAAGTGAAAAGTCACTGTTAAAGTGTCTATATGCACTTTTGTAAAGTTAAACATGAGCAGTACAGCTAGATATTTCAGAACTAGTGAAGTTTGTACAATGACATTCTTTTTGTATTTGACATAAGGTGGCTGCCAAGCATTTCCCCAGTTTCATTCTTCATATTTGCATTTCTCTGATAAATAATTACAGCATTTGGAAGGAAGTCCTCACATATGTAAGCTTAATCCCACATTCCTGATAGGAGATCTAAAAATAGCAGTCTTTGTTATCTCAAACCCAACCTTGGTGGAGCCAATGCAACTCTCTTGCCTCGCTGCAATTGTTAAAACTTGTGATCACATCACTTAGTCTGTGTGCTTGAGCCTGTGTTTGAATGGCACTTGGTTAAAAGCCTCACTGGGAAAATGAATTACTGGACTTGGGCATCTGGTCCTGTTTAGAGGCTTCATGATTTCACATGTGTTCTCCTAGGTGACACTGTTTAAAAAGCTTAACAAAAGTAGACAGAAGAGATGAGATCAGTTTGTGATTCTGGAAACTGTTGCGTGGTTTAGCATAATGGATTTAACTTGTTCAGGTGTCCCAGACTCAGAAGATATTTTGGATAAAGTTCTCATGATTTTCTCTAGGAAAAGTTGCCTTTTCCTAGAACTAGGAATGCATAACGGTGTCACTTAAACTGAAGATTTGTTTCCTAGCACCACCACTGATCATGGTCTTCTGCTTTGTGAACCATAAAATAAAAATGACATCTCTGCATCTCTCTTTTCCTACTGCAAAATAGGATTGATGTCTGTTCTCTGCTTCTGTCAGCTTTCTCTGACGTAACAGGTACTATCAGACAGAGTGCTGCATTAGATGGAGGTGGTGTCTAGCCAAAAGGAGTCAAGGAGCGTGCAGACCCTTGTCAGCCACATTAGGTTTTAGTAGTCCTTTATCAGGAAGGTTGTTTTCCTGTTCCCCGTTACTTGCAGTTTCGTACTCTGGAAAACACAAGTATCCAAACCCCACCAGAGGTCTGACTTAGAGCAGAAGTTCAGTTGTTCCTGCTCTCTTGAGCTAACATTTGCTAGTGTACTGCCAGATCTGCAGAAACTTATCTCTTTGTTTCCCCACTGGTAATTTAAAAAACTTCTCTCTGCAGAAGACGTAATTGAATCTGCTTTTGTCTTCCAGCAACTGCAGTTCAGAGAGCAATTGTTAAGACCATAATGGAATTTTTTAAATTTTTTTTTGTTTTTCAGGGACTTTTGAAGACACGGATCCAGCACCGGCTGAGGTACATCCTGGAGGTGGTACGACCTGTTCCAACAGTAGTCCTGGATATACTGCACATCCTCACCCACATAGCAAGGCACTCCTCTGAAGCATGCAGCCAGGTAAATCTCCCATTGTACAGAAGCTCCGGAATGGTAGAGAAAGGTTTGAAAAAGGGAAGAAAGAGGCAGGTAAATTTATGGCAAGGAGATTAGACAAACTTGCGTGTTTTGCATGTCTTCTGCATGTCTGTATAATTGCATACCTGTAGTTATTTGTGCTGCCTGCTGTTTCTCTGCAGCTGCTTGACTGTCCTCGGTTGATTGACACCATTGTAAGGGAATTTCTCCCTACTCAGTGGGATCCCAAAGTGGCTGAACCAGGGCATTTACTCACCAGCCTCCATGGAGTTGCTTGTGCCACTGCTATGAAGTTCATCAGAGTATTGGCATCTGGAGGCCGAAATGCAACAGCCAGGCTGGTGAGTGATTCTCAGAAGAGAGGTTTTCTGATTGCAAAGGCCTTTGTTCTCTTACTTTCTTAGTGAAGTGCCTTACTTTCTAAGTAAAGATAGAGGATTAATTGGCGGTGACACTGAGCTGAAGCTGAAATGATCATTGTGAAGAAGGTGCATACGTGTGTTTTGAAGGAATTGTTGACGGCATCATAATAATGATGCCTTCTGCTGTGGACCAGTAGAAGAGCTGTCTCAAGCTTTTCTCTGCTTTTTTTTGGCTTTATGTAGTGGAGTTATGCAAAATCCCATAGCACAGCTCAGTGATACTCGCCACCAGATGTTTAGAGCACACATTGGTGTGTGATGCTCTGTACTGTCCCATGTTCCAGTCATATGCAGCTTAGGACTGTGTAAATCGGAGATTTAATCGCTATACTTGTATTTTACAACCCTGGTTGAACTTTCCTGCCATTCATTTGTCTTAATAACTCTAAGGTCATTTATCAGTATTTCCAACCCCTCTTATCTACTTCTGGACAGGTTTTCCACTTCAGGGGTAATTGAATTCACTCATATAGGTCATCACACTGGTGCTATAAAAGCATAACATCTACCAAGAGCAGCAGCCGTTACAGTGCAACGAGCACCTCTTAGGGGTTTTGGTTCAGTATTGTTAATAGCATCTAATAAATTGCCACCCAGGAAATTGCTAACATCAGCAGAACACCACCAGCCTGTGCTATAAAATACATAGAATAATGTGCTGATAATGGATAGTGGGATATTTAAAGGCTGTTAAGTGGTGCTAGGAACATAATAGAAAATCTCTGACTTTTATTTTATTTCAGGCTTTGTGTAATCCAGGTGTTTCAAGGCATGCAAAAATTGCTTGCAAAGTTCCTGACACTCAGAAATTGGTTCTGTTGCACTCCCGTATGGCTTGGTATAGGCACTTGAACATGGGAATGGAAGATAATAAAAAACTAAATCCAAATCATCAATGTAGGAATTTATTTTAGCTAAAAAAAAATAAAAATTCTTCCATCTTCCTCTTCTGAAAGTAAATTTGACTTTGCCCCCTGTTCTGTAGGAGGGGTGTCAGAATTCATAGTTTGATTCACCAGCTCCTTTGCTTTCTTGCTGGTGTGCAT